GTATGAACCCATTTAGTGCCAAACCTCTATACACAACACTTCCCCCACAGAGCGCATTTCCCCCAGCCACTTTTATGCCACCAGTCCAGACCAGTATTCCTGGGCTGCGACCATACCCAGGACTAGATCAGATGAGCTTCCTACCACATATGGCCTACACTTACCCAACTGGAGCAGCTACTTTTGCTGATATGCAGCAAAGAAGAAAGTACCAGCGGAAACAAGGATTTCAGGTAAATTGTTGCAACCATTTTCCTTTGAAAGGCTAGAAATTAGTACTTTGTGATATGTCCTCTTACAGAAGAAAAAACCTGAAGCTATATTCAACATTTGCTACAAAATTAGTAGAGTTTATTTTAGTCTGAACTTGCAAAAATGCAGTGCAATAGGAAAACAAACTGCAATTACCTTAAGAGTACCTCTACTTGGATTCAGAAACAGTATTAATACCTTTGAATAGGCATAACACATGGTGTTATTCTGTTAAGCGCTTAGTCATTTCTCATTAGAATTTTGTCTAAATAATAACATGCATGAAAAGTTCTATCCTGTAGGAAAAAAAAAACCAAAGTGAAACTTTGTAGGGAAACTGATCTCTACAGGGCAGTGTGGGGTAAAGGAGCAGTGGGAGACCTCTTTGGAATCACCTCCACACTTGGATGCAAAGCTGTATCCCTGTAAGTGGAGGTCCATGTGGACTTGTAGCAGCTGTATCCCATTGAAAGCCCTCAAAGCTTCCTTCTCCATGTTTCTGGGGGTTGTTCACCTACCATGCATGGGAAAGGCATTCTGTTTTCTCATGAATGTCTGGGGAATAAGAAACATTGACATGCTGTTTCCCTATAGCTCCTTCCTTCAGCCCACCTACTGCCCTTCCCAGACTACCAGTTCTCTAATCCTGCCAGTCATCTGGAACAGCTTTGAAAAAAAACTGGAGATTAAACAAAATTATTTGGAGAGGTAGCAGCTAGGGACCTTAATCGCAGAGGAAGTCTTTCCCTGGACATGTAATCTGTGTCGGCACTTATTCATGCCTGGGTACAACATTTAATCCTTTTCTCAGTGTCTAATACATGAGTAGCAAAGGATTTTGCCACTTGCATTCCTACAGCAAAGAGCTGCTTTACGAAAGGCACATACTTTTATATCTTTCTTCTGGGTTTGTTCAGATATAACGCACAGAGTTTAGTTAAATGAGATTAACTGATTATAGTTTGGTTTTTTTTTTTTTTTTTTTTTACATTTGTTCATGTTCCCTTATGTCCTATTATGATCTATTAGTAATTTTACTGACTAGTAAAGGTTTTATAGTTTCAGATGTGAAAATCAGGTATGGTTTTACATTACAGGCTGCAATCCCTCTTTGCACAATAGGAGCATAAATAGCACTGCACCTCCATAACAGCTGTTCCACTATTCCAATTTACAGTACATCTGCCCTCTTTGTAAATGTATTTAAGCCTATTTAATCTTCTCTAATATTAATTAGTGCAAACCTAGTCTAAGAAAAACCGAACAGTGTGATAGCAAATGGAAATGTATGTTATCATGCAAGTTTGCACTCTCTTTGGATCAAGACAAAATAAATATAAAGAAATTTAATAATTTACTGATCCACATTCATTATTGCTTAATGCTGAAGGCTGTTTTAACATAGATAGAACATTGATAAAAAGTGTTATTAATATTCCCTATTTCAAATTACAAAATTAAATATAAAAATATAGCTTGAGGCCTTTAGTCGGGAGACATACATTTAAATGGATTGCATAATAATAACATTTGTACCTAAATATAAAATTCAATTAAAACCTTTCTACAGATACAGAATATAACCAAGTTTCTGTGTTTTGCAAGGAATGATCTCGTAGGTGTTGCTTACACTTACACCTGTAAAATATTACAATACCTTTTGCTGTCCACAGAGAACCTCCCCTTTGCTTTTTCTCCCCCTTGAAAATATTTAGTGCTGAGATTATTGTGTAAATCATACTACTGCAGAGTGCTCAAAGACAGAAAGTTGGTCTAAGACACAGAAGGCTTCTAATTTTTTCTACAGTTCTCATCAGATGTAGTTTCATTTCCAACGGGTTCCTAAACTGAGAGGACTACCATCCTAAGCAGACATAATTTTGACTTCTCTCGGATGGGTGGTTCCTCCATGGGAAGGTGCGGTGGTAGAAATGGGTGTCACTGACGGGTGGTTCCCTCACAGGGAGAATTGCTTGATGGAACCCCAGACTACATGTCCGGCCTTGATGACATGACGGACTCCGACTCCTGTCTGTCCCGAAAGAAGATCAAGAAGACAGAAAGTGGCATGTATGCATGTGACCTATGTGACAAGACATTCCAGAAGAGCAGTTCCCTGCTGCGACACAAATACGAGCACACAGGTAGGATGGCCGTGCGTGCCAAGGGGAGGGTTGAGGTCCATACTGTGCTCTTCATAGTCTTTTGTAAGTACGCTTGTACAGTGAATGGTTTGGAAAGTGGAGAGGCTTTCAATAGGGCAGAAAGAACATCTTTTGCTCAGTTCAACACATTGTTTAACTCTTTTTAATAGTAATTGCTTGGTGAAGAGCTGTTGGATGTGATGGGGTGAATCCTGGCAGGTGCTATGTGATGTGTCATGCCGAGCACAATCGCAATGGTGGCACTCAGCATCTTGCAGGATAAGCCCTCTTCAAATAAGGCAGGCCCTAGCACTCTGAAAGAACTGCAATTTGGTCAACACAAAGTCTGGTGCAGGAAGGAAGGGTCCTAGACATTATCTGACCCTGCACCATTTAATCCTGTAGAAGTTCCACTGATGTTAGCAGCATGAGAGCAGGCTCTGGCTGCGTTATCTGAAAGTAAACTCCTCACAGGGATTGCTCTTGCTGTGATCTTGCACACCAGCAGAACAGGCAGGTTGCATTTCACTTTTTTGCTTCTCAGTTAATGCCCAGGGAAGGCTTCTTTCTTTCCCAAGTAGGGACTGATTTTTGTCTAGTTCAAGGAAGCTTGCCAAAGCTCACCATGGATTGTCAGCTTAAAAAATATTTTGGTTTGAAAAAGACCCTCCACCACACCTATGCTGGCCATGATTCTCCTTGCAGGCAGTGCTCCCTTTCCCACTCTCAGTCAGGACAGGCATGAGTCCGGAGGTGGAGAGCTCTCCAAGAGGGATACATCAGCTCAGCGTGTTTCACTTAGGGGAAAATGGGACCGGAGCTCCCCCCATATAATAGAGATATCAAGTTATATTAGACAAAGGGAATGTGAATTATCATGTGAATTATTGTGCAGCAGGACATAAACCAAACACCAACTTCCTAGAGTTAGAAAAAGCTTACTCAGGAGGAAACTTTCCTTAACTTTGAAAGCTGAGTCCCAATTCAGGAAACGAAGCAAGTCACATCATCCTTCAATCTCACCATGTGATGGTAAAAAACGTATACCTCTCTATTAATACATGTTCCAGGCTGCACATAACTATTTGGCATTTCATATATGAAAAAATTACAATTCAGAAGTGGACTGTGCCTTTAAAAAAAAATTCTTTATTTTGTTATTTTCCTTCTTATACTTTTCTTCCAAATTTTAAGATAATCCCACACAGGAAAATAAAAAAGAAAGTAAAAATACATATGGGATTAGGAAAGAAAATTAAAAGCAATGTTTTGGACTAGATCAGCTAGTTCATTGCTGAAATGTGCTTCCCACTACGTTATTCGGATCAAATTGTTTATTCGGTAGAAGAAGCTTTGAAGGCTTTACGTCCCTGCACCTTTTCTCTTCTGAATGATTTTATTACAGCCATCTGCAAACATTATGGCTTGCTACACTAGTACCGTAAAGCTCTCATGTTAGAACTGGCCTTCATATATACTGGGATCTGGACATATGGTTGAATCCCATAAAGTTGGTAGTCCATAAGGTCGACAGACATATGGTTGAAAGGCTCAAAATTTGACAAGCTGAAATCTGTGCAATCACCTTGATTTGCAAAATAAACTGCATTTGTAAAAGCAAAAATATGTTCTGGTCTTTAAGTAGCAGGGGAACCTACTGCCTAAAAAAATTCCATACAGCTGCAGCGTAGGGACTTTTCTTCTTTGCTCTGTCCCTTTCAGTTTCTCAACTTTACATCCATCAATTTTATTGGACTCAGCCTTATGATCCAGAACGTGTATACGGTGTCATATTTAATACGCTAGAACTACAGCACATCATCAAGCTTGAGTGTGGTATTTAGAGACAGGAAGGATGGTCTTGTGGCAAACGCACAGGCGCTGAGGCTGAGAAAACTGCACTCTTTCCTGCCTTGCCACAGACTTCCTTTGTGAATTCCACCAAATTGCTTCACCTTCTTTCACCTTTGCCCATCTTTGAAATAGAGGGAAATGATACCAGCCCATCTCTCTGGGTTGCTGTAAATCTTAATTCATGCAGGCTGAAATCCTGTGATGGAACTTGCTGTATAAATTGTGAAGTATTATTAATGACATGCTTGCTTTTATCCTCCAGACATCGCGCTGAAGTTAGATAGAGGTGGTTGGAGCTATGAAGACCTTGGCTGGGCTAGCTCCATCACAGATCCACAGCCTTCAGGAGGCAAAATGCACTGGGACTTCAGCTAGTAGCTTAGTGTGCATCTTAAGTGAATTTCAAATTAATTTGATAGTTTTGAAAAAAAGCTTGCAATTGCATCTATAATATAGGTATGAAATTGCAGTCTGTTCAGTGGAAGGAACCAAATTGGAAGTATCAGCCTCTTCTGCATTTGGGATCATTCTAAGTGTAGGCCCAGATTTTTCAGTCAACTTTTTTAAACCTAAAAAAGAGAAAAAGCTTATTTTCTGAGTGTGTTGCTGTTTTCTGACCAGCTGATCACGATCTGTTGTTCCTTCATTAAAAACATATTTTTAGGAGGAACACTTCCTGTCTTTCCTGGAGAAGCACAAGTGCTGGATGTTTTTTATACTGATGTCTTTCTTCCTGAGTGAAAAAAAAAAAAAAAAAATCTATGTGCTTTTTTGGTTTTTGCTTTTTTTGATATTTGAACAATTAGATTTTTATTTGTCACCACTCTTCATGGTTCACAAACCCATTGCAAACAATACTAGAATGAGGGTTGAGAGATTCAGACAGAGGCCATGCACTTGCTTTGCAGCCCCTAAATATTTACCCCAGAGAAATCATCTGGAGCAAAAAATAACATTGACAGATGAGATGCCCTAATCATGTGTTACACCAACTGCTGTAAAGGAGAAAACAGGAATGTCACTGAAGTATTGCAGTGAAGCTGTTTCCCTTCCAGGGCAAGAAGAATGGGAGTTGGCCAGTTCTTTGTGTCAACCCAAGAACTTCTAGTAGGACCATGTGGACGCAGATCAGGGAGCTCTGCCATTACCTCTGTACTCCATGCCTGCCACAGCTTGAGTACAGTAGGAAAAGGGGCCCAGATTTCACAATCCATAATTTTTAATTTATGCAGCATTACCAGTATTCTGAAATAGCTTCTAGCTTCATGTGGAGAAGGAAAATTCATTGTGTTACTGCAATGAGCAAAATGCATTGCTTCTGGCATCTGAATCTGAAATTTAGTGTAAAGGCCACTTCTTGTTGCAGGACCAAATTCTGCCAAGTTAATTTTGGGATGACATTTAATTTTAAGAGAAGTTATATTGTCCCTCTGAGAATTTGAGCTTCACAAGATTCTATTTCTTTAAAACCAGCAAATGCAGCACTGTAATTAGGGTGCAGAGCATGGCAGGTAGCACAGGAATTCAGTGCTCACATTATTTTCCTGGGAAGTCTTATGAACTCATCCTAACTTTGGACAGGTTAAAATTAGTTGAGTGGATACTCCATGTGTCTAATTTCAGATCTATCCACGCTGCTTAGCAGAAGGCTCAAGAAACTTTCCATACTAAAGATGAAGATGGTTCCCTTCATGGTAAAGCATTGGTACCATCCGATGAGCAAAAAAAAATATTTGTGTTGCAGATAAGGAGGGCAAACAGTAGTGGGTAAGTGAGCAAGAAAGCAAACAGAATGGAGCATCTGGAAATAAGAGAAATATCCTAGCTCCTGGGTAGCAATTCAACCCCTCTTGGTCATCAGTGCTGTGTTGGGCTGCTTCAGGAGTAAGGTGAGCATCTGGAAATAAGAGAAATATCCTGGCTCCTGGCTACTAATCCAGTGCCCTTGGGTCATCAGTGCTGTGTTGGGCTGATTCAGAAGTAAAGGTGAATTTGTTCTGCTGTCATCAACACCCATGTCTGCTACACACCAGCTTTATTGTAGCTTCCCAAGGAAACTTGCAGTGTGCTTGCTCTGCAACAAAACCTGGAAACAGTTTTTCAGAATCCTACCTAGAAATTTTAAATCCTTTCATTGTTGTTCTATATTACATCATATTCTATTTTATTACTTGTGTGGGCTGTCGAGGGCCTCATAACTGTGCTAGTGCTTTCATCCTTTCCTTTTCCACTGTATATTTTATTAAGACCTCTTTTATATTTTTGTAGCTTTCATGCTGATGCAGGCACTAGTTTTATTTCCAGATTGATTCTGTAAACTAAATATTGTTCTTGAGCCTGGTAGCAAATCAGCTCTCTCTGGCTAGTATTTTGAATTCCCAGCTCAGGAGTTTTCTTTATTTAGAGCTTGATTCATAAAAAATTTACATGCTATTTAAAGATTATTTTTTCTTGCTTTACTCTGATGCAAGTTTAGAATTCCCTCTTTTGCACTCAAATAAAGAAAAAAAAGGATATATTCTATGCTTGTGAAATCTGTTCTGTAGAAAGGTCTTCTATTGAAAACGGAACAGGTGCAGCTTGGGCAATTATATATAAATTGCATTTATCTGGCACCTTTGACCGCTTCGCTGTGCTCTGGCTGCTAATCCATCTCCACTGGGACTACAACTAACATCCAAACCCCCAGGCAACTTCAAAAGAACTGCCTTCAAAAAATAAAAACAAACTGTCACAGAAATGTTTCCTTCTTTTCTCCAAAGAGTGGGATTTCTGTTTGGCCCTCTCCCACAGAAAAAAGGCCCACTTGCCTTAGGCAAAGGATGGGTGATATTTAGTTTCGGACCAGTGACAGTTTATGATCTGATGTCTTATGACTTTTAAGCCACTGCAAATGTGAAACTCATAGCTTTTTCACTCAAAGGCTTTTAGCCCAGGAAGACTGAGAGATACTTACTGTTAGAGGTTTTTTTGTTGTTTTGTTTTGACAGAAACACAATTCTAGAGACTTTGCAAAGAGATTAGTTATAATTTCCCCCCTGTAAATTGAGTGCAGGCCCCCGTGGGAACCTCTTTTTGCAGATGGTGGAATAAAAAAAAGCCCAAACATTTCCTTTAGATATTTGAGAGAGATTTATCACTGTTTCACTGCAAAATGTGACATCTACCTCACGCATCTACCTGATAACACAGAGTGTTCTGTGAGCTTTCCTGTGAGGTGCCATGGGTATCTCTCTCTCAGCTCAATCCCCATGAATGACACAGGTCATCTGAAATGAAACTGGGTAAAATGTGGGATGGGATGTTCAAATCTTTCTTTCAACCCATCTAGTGCACTGACATGATGTTGCACAACAACGCTCTTACTTCATGCTAGCTAAATAGCTGACACAGCAGCCAGAACTACTTAAAGTTGTAGGTTCTTCCCAACCACCTAGAGGTGTAGGTCTCCCCACCCACCTACAATTCTAGGTTCTCCCTATCCACCTACAGCTGTTGACTTATCCCCATCAACCTACAATTGTAGATTTATCCCCATCAACCTACAGTTGTAGATTTATCCCCATCCCCAGTGCAAAATACCTTACTTCAGCTTTATTTTATGGCCTACTAATGCATTGTAGGGATTAGGTACTCCTTTTAAATGGCTGAAATATTGGGTTTTGCACACAGGGGAAAAAAATAATTCTCCCACAAATGTTCAGAAACCCGATACATTTAAAAACATATTTCAATTAGTGTTGTAACAGCTGCATGCTGTGCACTGCTAAGGTATGTTGTATGGTGTCTGAACAAAGAACTTTGCTCAAGCTGTCATGTTCCCTCAGATCAAAACTGAGTCCTTGATATGGATGTGGTAGACTAAATAGCTCTAATATAACCTTTTTCGTACTAATATAAATGAATATGAAAATACAAAGTTATTAATATGAAAATACAAAGTTATTAATATGAAAATACAGAATTTTAATCTTCTCATTTCTAAGTTAATGTATAAAATATAGATGATTTCCTGCCAGGCTGCCACTTTGCTGGCTGGAGGGAGACCCCAGGTACCATGAGCAGGAAACGCAGCATTGAATGAATGCTGCGTGCAAGGGATGAGCAAAGCAAAGACTGAGGGACAGGCAGGTGGAGACAGGTCTGGATGAGAAGCAGTGGAGGTGGCTGACTTCTGTTTGAAGAGAGAAAAAGTGCTGGACAATTGGATGAAGCACAGCTGTGGGGTGAGAAGGGTGTACTGGGCATTAAAAAAATCAGGAAATAACCGAGAAGGAGCATTGCTGTGGAGAAGTGGAACAAGATGAGGGCTGGACTTACTGATGTTGGGGAAAAGTAAGTCAGAGGGAGGGACTGAGACAGCGTGGGCAGTTCAGTGAGGAGGAGGACACAAAAAAAGTCCTGAGGAAAAGCAGAAGGACTATGAGGAAAAAAAATAAAGGAACAAAATTAGCAACTATGGAGATACTAGCAAAGGGATGGTAGTGTGTTGCTCTGAGTGAGCTCAGCAGGACACTGGGGATGAGGCAGGGATGCAGGCAGGCCTATCATCTGGTGCATCTAGCCAGGTGGTTGGTGGCATTGGGAAAGCTCCCACCTCACTCATGAAGGTTTTCTTTGGGCAGTGCTGAGGTTTAAGGAGTGCTTAGGTCAAGAATGCTTTCGGATTTTATGCTAATTTGAGTAAGTGACTAAATCGTGCTAAAATCTCCTGAGCTATGACTGTGGGATTTCCCCACTGTGGCAAGCTTCTGCTCTGAATCCAGGTAGTTGCCTCACAGTTCTGGATTTGGTGTACTTCCAGGTAAGAAATGCATAATTAGGAAACAGTTCATAAAAGCAATGCTGCTATAATCCAGTATATGAAGCTTGAATTTTCAGTTTTACTCTAAGGGGAAACAAAGAAGAAAAAAAACCCAACAAAAAAAACCCTGTATCTATGCAAGATTAGGAACCTCTCATACAAAGAAATGTAGTTTGAGTCCCAATTTCCAGGCATCCACTAATTCCTCTGTCACTTGGGTTATTCTATCTGTGGTTTCTCCCGTATTTTCCTTCCTGCCAGATCTCCCCTTCATTTCATAACACAATTTTTGGCTTCCTTGAGCATTTGTTAATCACACCTTATTAAATCTGAACTTTCACAGTGGGGCTTGAAGGTAGCTGTGACTAGACTGGGGGGAAAAAATTCACATACTCCTTAGTATTTGTTCTTAGCAACTTTGCTATGGAAATGAATTCTTTTTATGCCTGACTTTTGCTGCTCTCACGTCCTGGCAGTGACTGCAGAGGAAAAGAAAGCAGATCAGATTCATCAAGGAGCAGTTTGAGTTTTCCTGGAAGCTGAGATCCTTCAACAGTCTGAAAACATTTTTTTTTTTTTCCTGCTGGATTTCCTTCCATGTGGACACTACCAGTGACAGTTTCCCATCTTCCCAGCCCTTTGCTCTTGGCTGGTGTTTTCTACCCTCCACCATACTCTTCCTCTCTCTGAGCTTGCTTCTTTTAGATTTAAGAGAATACCACACTTTTACAACTGACAGGATGGGAGGGCTCTGGTGTGAAGTTTATTTCTGTTCAGGTCACATCCCACATTAGCTAAGTGTGGTAAATATGCCAGAGGAATCAGACCACTTCACTAATAAGTTCCTAATGATCTGCTCTAGCAATAAGACATGAAAAGCAGGGCTCTGGTTTTGAGGCTCTGAATACCAGCATTTTTATATATGTAAAAATTGCACAAACTAAAAAATAATGACCAATTGGCACTGTATCCGCCTGCATAGTTGCACCACTCTGGAGCATTCAGTTGAATGACACTAAGATTATAATTTGACATTTCAAAAATAAAAAAAATCTGGCTGAAGGTACTAATGTTTGATTTTGTTTTTTGCCTTCTGTAATCTAAGTTTGGTGATCGGTCTTCACTAATTCCAATCTTTGCACCATATGTTATGTCTGGATATCTCACGGTTGCATCATGCTTTGCTGAGTTTTGTCGTGTGGCATCATGCTGACAAGTATTTTTTGTCAGCTCTATTTTGGAATTAAGCTTTCAGTATGGCAGTTCTGGAAGGTGTTGAAGGCATTCCTGTGCTATTTGTGGCCTGGGATCAACCAGATGTGTTTAGGCTTGGCACTGGTTTTGAGTTTCAAACATTGGTTTGAAACTGTCTGAAATGCCAAAGGAAATACTGTTTTCTGCAGCTTAACACTACTTTAGCACTCAGCGAGTGGCTGACAACATTTTATTTAGAAATCCCTTATGCTTCTGTGGCAGATATATATATTTGTGTTTGCTCATGTGGTGGGGGAAAAATGTCTTTCGGTGCTTGAAGGTTTCCTCCCCTAGTCAAGGGCTGGAGGAGAGGACCCCTACAGTGGCTTGGTGTGTGTCCAGCCTGTGTCCTCCTGCAGCAGCAGATACCTTAGGGACTCAATGAGGCCTGACTCTCTCTTGCTGTCCCTAGACCTGCTGCGTATGTTGGCTCACTCCAAGGTAATCTGTGGTGGGCTTGCCTTGGGGTGCTGTAGGTGAGGAACAGCTGGCAAGCAGTTGCTTGCAGTTACGTGGCACCACTGTCAAAGGCACAAAGATAGGATGTTGGCTTCCTGCTATTCATGAGCAACTTATACAAAGAAAACTTTAAGTAACAAAGGCCTTCTCTACAGGCTAATCTCTTCAGCAAGGCATGGAAAGAAATGCGACATGTATATGATGCTGTCAGCAGAAATATTTATAAATAGGGATATTTTTTGAACATTTTCATGGGTGTCAGCTGCTTGCTAGAGCTGCCAGTTTTCCACTGATGCTCTCTGAGTCATTTTCTTTATTATCCTGAGCTGCTTGAGTAAAATTACTACAGTCAAACCCATCCAAAGTCTAAGTTGTAGCATAAATGTGATTTTTTTTTTGTTTTGTTTCTGCAATTGAGCTTTCTTTAAAAAGAAGAAAGTGGGGTGGTTCAGGTATCATGTTGCTCAAGAACCTGAAAGAGTGGAGGGAGAAAAAGGGGTGGAGAAGCCATCCATCTCTGCCACTATAACCCATATGTCCTCTTGTCTTTCCTTACAGGAAAAAGACCACACCAGTGTCAGATTTGCAAGAAAGCATTTAAACACAAGCATCACCTGATTGAGCACTCGCGCCTGCACTCCGGAGAGAAGCCCTACCAGTGTGACAAGTGCGGCAAGCGCTTCTCGCACTCAGGGTCTTACTCACAGCACATGAATCACAGGTATTCCTACTGTAAGAGAGAGGCAGAGGAGAGGGAAGCAGCTGAGCGGGAAGCCCGTGAAAAGGGTCACTTAGAGCCCACTGAGCTACTGATGAACCGGGCCTATTTACAGAGCATCACTCCCCAGGGGTACTCTGACTCAGAGGAGAGAGAGAGCATGCCGAGAGACGGCGAGAGTGAAAAGGAGCATGAGAAGGAAGGAGAAGATGGGTATGAGAAGCTGGGAAGGCAGGATGGGGATGAGGAGTTTGAAGAAGAGGAAGAGGAGAGCGAAAATAAAAGTATGGATACAGATCCAGACACGATAAGAGATGAAGAGGAGACTGGTGATCACTCAATGGACGATAGTTCGGAAGATGGGAAAATGGAAACCAAATCAGATCACGAAGAAGACAATATGGAAGATGGCATGTAATAAACTACTGCATTTTAAGCTTCCTATTTTTTTTCCAGTAGTATTGTTACCTGCTTGAAAAACACTGCTGTGTTAAGCTGTTCATGC